TGACAGGCTATATAGGCTGCATAGCTTCCATCTTGTATTTTCACCAGTTATTGAAAAGTCTCTAGCTACAGTGTAGTATTTACACTACATCTCTAAATTTCTATATTTGCATGAGACCTATCTGCTCTATCATGGTATGTGTCCCAACATTTAAAATGCAGTGGAGTTTTCCCTACTCACCTCCAAACGGATACCTTTGTTTACAGTTTCTTTCACCAAAAGTTGTTTAAGGTAATGTGCACATGACTGGAAAATCCTCTTAGACTACTAAACATATATTTACTTTTATGTAGATTCTCTTGAATCTGGGAATTCTGTGCTGCTGCCCCACATCTGTGGAACGCCCTCCCTGACACCTTGTGGGCACCTCAATCTTAAAAAGGCCATAAAAAATGTACTTTCAGCAAAGCTTTTAGTCCCCTTTAGATGTTTTTCTCTCTTTTAACTTTGAGATCTTTTGTTGGAAAGTATAAATTAAATTTATTATTATTATTATTATTATTATTATTATTATTATTATTATTATTATTAAATAATTTCAGGTCCTTATCCACAAAGACTAAATGCTACAGGAGAATTGAAACTAAAAACAGTTTTTATGAGATACAGTTTCAAGGGTGTGCACATTGTAGTTACATCTTTTTTATATACAGTAACTTTGGATTTAACTGATGATGCATATAAAGCACAGGGGAAATTTACAGGAATTTAAAATTCTAAGTCTCAAAATCCTGGATTTCTAACTGTGATATAAAAAGTATTAGAAACACAACATTTAAGGTTTATGTTTCAATGTAGTGATATTGCTTCAATTATTTGGACCCTTTTTATACGTCATTGCAAAGAGTAACAATACATGAGGAAAAAAAACATGAGGTTACCTTTTATTATATATTAAGGCATTTTAATTAAGAAACAAGATTAATTAAACACATGTAAATGCATATGTCATTTATTCACAACAAAATCAACAGATGGATTAAAAATATTTAAGAAAAAGACACAAGAAGTGATCTTTAAAATAGATTTTATTTACCATTTTGTAATTCAACAGTTTACGATATACAGGTGACAAGACTAAGACAGTTCAATGGAATTTGGCCCTAAAGGTTGAAGAACAAGAAGAACACGCACGGTTAGATAGATAGATCAACAGATACAGATATATATATGATAGAAGGTACCAGAAGAGCTGTGTTCTTTTTTCTCAGGTGTGCTTTTTGTCTCCACTCCAACAATGTAACACGGCAAGTTCTCTCAGCCATAGTCTTACAAAAAAAGGTTTCTTTCCTTGTGCTTTTTTTAAAATGTATAAGTGATTTATATTTCAGTTTTTTAAAAACACTACTGATTCTTCTAAAGTGCTACAGTATGAGTAAGCTTGAATGAACAGTAGTAAGATATGCAAGAGGTAATTTTCTGTCATTTACATAAAACCACAAAAAAATAGAAAGGTCATAGTTAAGTGTTTAACTTTTCACTACATGTACATTTGTGTTTTGTATACCAGCTCAGAAATGGTTTTAACCTTGATTATTTTCATCAACATCAGTTACTTTCTGCACAGCGATGGTAAATAACAACATATTAATAATCTAGGAGCAGGATCATTAAATGTTTGTTCTCACAACCGTTTTTCCCAGGATGCAATTAGAACTTTTGGACCAACTCTGCCACAATCAAAAATGAATACAGAAATATTAATCTTTTTATACAAAGAGGTTAACCAGCAAACACACATAAAAACAACAGTGTTTAGCAATTATTCTGGCATGGAAACACTTACATCTTTATTTTAGCTTTAAGCATAATATTCATCAGTTCTTGTCCCTTTTTATCTTTTCTTTTTTCAATGATTATTTTAAGTATTCACTTGCTTTTTATTTTTGATATCACTTACTGTTTAATTTTATTGCTTCATGACATTTTTTTCCCCAAAATGTTTTTGTATTTTATTCAAATTAAGATTAAAATTTTGTTAACTTGTTGTGTTTTTTTACTCAACTGACCAGATATAAAATGATATGAAAAATAATTAAATAATGACAATAAAAAGAGCAAATATTGAATGTTTTTTGTGGGGCAGTATGACAAAAAAGGATGACAGGACAACATTCCATAAATAATATTGTCTTTAAATAAATAAATACAAATAAGAGAAACTAAATAAATAAAAAATGTTTTTTTTTTGTTTATTTAAAGTTATCAATTAAATAAATAGGGATGGTGACACAAAGATTAATTAGTGCAGTTTAAAACTAAAATACAAATCTCAATTCGGTCAGTATTGAATAATTATTAAAAATTCTTGTTTTTATTATTTATTTATTTTTTTTACTGTTTTAGTCAAATTCATTTCCTAATTTACCTTCCTATTTATTTCTGCATTTACTCTTCATCATGGCAGGTTGGTCCGTATCAAATAAATGAAGTATAACATATCTGATACATCCCAGATTGCTGGACTGCGATGCAACCAAAGCCAGTACAATGGATTCCAAAATTACCCAAAATCATTATCTGCTGATTACAGTAGGCACAGAAATAAGAATATGATTTCTGAGTGGTAATCCAGTTTTGTCACATATTAATTTTGGTGTTTATATTTTGCTTTTCACATACTAACATTGAAAGAAACAGCCAGACGCCTCAAAGATGAGGAGGCCACATGATATGCTGCAGCAAAGTTTATGTTGGCACTGCACAGTGTAAAATTGTTTTAAGATGTAATACTGTTTAAAAAAAAACAAATAAACAAAGAAACAAAAATAAACAACTAGAAACAAAGGTATTGTGATGTAGCTGCATCTTGTGTCTGTGCCAGAGCTCCATTCTTTTGTATTTCAAGTTTCGATCCAAAGCTTTTTTGTTTGGCAACGCTTTTTAATATCAGCTGGCTTTAATCGTCAATAGAAACAGCTTAAAAAAAAACAACCAGAATGCAGTGTAAATAAAGAAGAAAAAAACAAAATATGAAGATTACAGTCTTCTTTTTTAACGGCTAGTACTGTTTAACTTTTTTCCTAAAAGATATTACTAGGTATGATTAGTAGAGTAGCACAGAGCTAGTTCTTGTAGATTTAAGGTACATGGACATTAATACTGACACAAGAACCTGCTTTACATGCAGGTTTGGCAGTAATAGCTAATCTACTACACATGTAATACATAATACACCTGACATTGTCTACTTTACACTACAAGAAAAATGACAAATAAAAATCAGTCAAAGCCTGGTCTTCCTCTAACTCACAGAAACAGAAACCAACCTGCCCTAAAGAAAAAGCAAACACATACACGGTCTGACTATATAACTTTTTTACATAGCTGTACAATAGTAGGGGGAGATAAGGGTTCAGTTGAGTTTGTAAAGGTTGAGAAATATGGAAAGATGACATCATGGCGGTCACTTAATACTATATGAAAATACAAAACAGGAAATCACGAACAGAAGACTGTTATAGCTAGATGTTATCCCATCAAACTCTGAGCAGATTAAGTTCGTATTGCCTCTTTCAGGACATAAAACTCTTTCAAAAAATTTTAATGAATCTGAATTTAGAAAGACAGTGATGCTACTTACTGATGTCAAAGAGCACCTGGTCTTTCTCAAAAAAAAAAAAAAAAAGTCTTACTACTGGAATGATTGGTTTTAAAACTGTTGGAATTATTCAGTCTAGGATATTGGCCACTAAGCATTTCAACAAGAAAAAAGCTGTATCAAAATTTGTGCTTGTTTCTGGATGTTTGCTGTGCTTCTTTTCTTTTTCTTTAATCTCATATTTCTTACTGCTGTTTATCAAACTCCTTTTTTTATTTGGCCACCACAGTATCTTTTTTAATGTTATCAGCATTACTCCATCTTGTGGACTGTAGGAGCAATTGCATACCCAAATTAAACAGTACAATTAGAATATGTGCAAATGTATTCCAAATAAGTGCTTCATGAAGTCTTTCCATTAAGACTTACATAGACATTTAGAAAAAAAGGGTCACCATTTCTGGGAATGTGCTTAATTGTCTTAGACTCAGTCTTTATTTAAAGATCAAACGTAATTAACCTCTTTCTAACTGCTTGTATTAGTCTACTTTAGTTTAAGATAAAGATTAACTGCAGGCCCACTAGCTATGTCCCATAACCCTTAAAAAACCAACATACGCATTATTTCATTTGTATACCGATCTGTTGATGATTGTATGTGTTATATGCTTGACTATTTGTTCAGTTCTGCAACTAGAACAACTCTAAGCAGTGTGTTTTACTCATGGTATGATAACATTTGACTAAAAATATATTAATGCACCTAAAAATGTGATAAAAATGTATATTACCCTCTAACTGCTTTATTTAATAAGAGAAAAAAAAATCTAATTGCAACTGGAAACTTAGTGAAATTGAATGAAACATAAAACGAATATTATGGCCAACATTTACCTAAGCTAATTTTAATATATTCACCCACTAAATTTAGTATTATTTATTTCCTGATGACCAGAATATTAAGCCTTTCTTGTATTTGCATTTTTAATGTGCATGGATACTAACTCCCTAAGTGCAATTATAAAACTTTAATAAGTATTATGGTTGGTGTGGTTATAGTTTCTGCATCCCAATCGTCCATGTTTTCATCTTCTGAAATATTAACAGATTATCTCGTAAACAAGGGGAAAATGGCAGCAATATTGGCGTTTTTTAACTCTTCTGCACTCTAGGCGTTCTACAGTTTTTGAAACCCTGGTTCCTCATGTCATTTTTCTGTCATCTCATATATAGTAGGTGTTAAGTGTAGGAATTATATGCTGACATTTTTGGGGGATTTTGAACATATATTGTTTTATAATTCTAAGTATACCTTGATAGTGGCCCGTAGGAATATAAAGTTAAACAGCAGAACTTAGGCTGGGGATATTTTGTTGCAAAAGTTGAAATTTAGATCTGGCCTTATGGTCACTCCTTCATTGGGACTGTTCTTGTGGGACTAACTATTTTTTTTACTAACTATAATTGTTGTGTTGCTACTTTTACTAGAATACTAGCTAATATCAACACGTTTCGCTTAATTTTCCACATTTAAGTTCTAAAAAGTCATATTCACAACTGTAGATTGTATAGTGCTTAGTGTATTATTGATTTTTTTTATAAAGAACATCTGAAGTGCATATAGATTGTTTGTTTTCACACATATATGATGTTATAGTAGACCAACAGCTATTTTAGACTACATTCACACAGCTGGCAAATCCAATCTTTTCGCCAAAATGCAACTCATATCTAACTTTTTAAGAAAGCAGTGTGAATGTCCCAATTCTAATATTTTCACTGACCCTGAAAAATCAGATTTGAATTATTTCTATATGCGATACTGAATTGAATACATATTGATAGTCTTTAAAGAATCTGCATTCTGAACAGTCATGCAGCATTTTATACACCTTTCACATTATGGCCCTGGTGTCTGAATGAAAAATATTTGTTTGATATGATATGTTTTTTTATTTTCATTTATTTAATCATTAAAACCTACTGCATGAATGTAAGTCTCAAATATGTCACTGGCTGGAGATCTATGACATTTAAATAGGTAAATCCATCCTAGGGAGCCCTCTCTTAGATTTTTCTAATGTGCAATTCAGAAAATCTGAATAAATAGTGCTGGAGTTGCAGGAAAATTTTGCACGGGTGGTACAAGGCTACCATAAGGTCAGAATTCTCAGAGAAGTGCACACACCTAATAAAAACTCATACTAGCGCTTTTGTCAGAGATCCACACATGTAAACTACTGTTCACACACATTTTACAACCAATATCATGAGGCATGGGTGTACGTTCAATAGCTGTGATTGTGGTTGTAACAGAATCTTAGGCTTATGTCAACTTTCATCACTTTCAGGGCGGCACCAGCTGGAGAAAGTATACCAGTTGTGGTTTGCCACTTTTTAGGAAATACCTTCTCCTTAAGCAGTACTGTTTTCTTTCTGATTTTGGCAAATAACATTTAAAAAAAGCATATTTTAGATAATTGCTAATCTCTTCAATAGTTGAATGCTGACTTTATATGCAACAGCCTTTTTTTATCAACTGATAAATCTATAAATAAAATGATAGACATTAAAGAAAAAGCGTCAAAGGTTCTGCAAAGTGATTAGAAATGCAAATGTTTATGTTCAAATAAAAACAAAACTTAATTCAAGCCTTACTTCCTGCAATATAGACAGTGAAGCTATGGTTAGCTTAGCTCATATAGCTGCTGCTGATAGAACACATTATTGATTGTGTTAAATTAAGTTACTTAATGATGATGTAGCTTAAACAACTTTAACTGTGTGAACAGCAATTAGCCTGAAAACACTTTGCTTATATTAATAGCCACAACCAGGAAGAACTACTTTTTTAAGAGGTGGGATTTCCTAAACGTAGCCAATTACAGGCAGTTCACTTTCTCAAGCTGGTTCCATCCTCAAAGTGCCAAAGGTTGACATAAGCGCACAGACACAGCTCCACTTGAGAGTAGGAGTAAAGACACAGGTGCATTAAAAGCCAGCCATGAGAACAGAGAAGGAAGGCCTCATGGTATTGAATCTGCACCCATACGTCCAAAATGCAGTTAGAGTAGTTCATGTAGTGTTTTAAATAAAACTGCTAATATCAGTATTTATTATGCATGTGAACTTTTTGCAGAATTCTGACTTTACAGGCTTTTTGCTGCCCAGTTTCTGCTCTTTGCTAAACTAAGTATTTACTTTTTGTGTAACACTATATGATATTCATAGCTAATTCCGGTTTTGAAACAAAAACCTGCACATAGGAATGAACTACATTGAGTTGGGTCGTTTACTCAGTGCTCACCGGATCATAACAGTCACACCAAGTGATGTTTCTATTTTGTGCCAACAGAATGCACCATCCTGAAGTAAACCTGCTGCACTCTATAGCAAATGGTCACTGCTGATAAAACTAAAATAATTTCACCACACAGTATGGTAAAATTGCAGTCACATTAAGATGTGTGAATCGGGTATAACTACATTTTTTACCAGAATCAGTGTTTGTATTCTGCTAAGCAACAACACAGCTCAACTGGATATTTACCAACCTCTCCTCCTAAAGAGTTCCTCTCTTCTCAGAAGAGGAAATGACAAACATGGTTAATCACAAATCTATAACTTTTATGTTTTGTACAAAATAAACATATGTTGTCTTTTATCATTATGTACCAAGTTACTTTACAATGAGAGGTAAAGAGACGACATCTACAGAGAGAACGACACTATTGCAGCTATATATAAAACTAGAGAATTAATCGCTTAATTTTATTCTGTTTTCTTCTGGAAACAAGCAGCATCTCACCACTTTTTGTCTCTCAAACAGCTTGGCTCAGAACTTGAAACAAGAGTCTTGTAACACATTTAAAAGTTCCACAGACAGTAAAGCACCGACACTTGGTCAGTTTCTAAATTGTACTTCACCAATAAGATATGCACCACTCATGTAATTCAGGTTGCATGCCAGATGGGGGCAGACTACTACGACCCATTAGAGACACCGACTATAATACACATTCTCCTTTAGAGATCACATCCCAAGATGCACTCAAAAATAATGCCTGGAAGACTTAAGAAGAGATGGCACTTCAGTATGTATTCTGAGAGCTGCATTGTGTACATATGTGGGTGTTCTCAGACAATGAATAAAGTTCCAAGGTTTCAGTTCCTGTTATAGATTCCACAGGTAAGGAACCGCATGGACCCTGAGAAATGGGCAATAGGACCTCTTCTGTCAAAAATAACAACAACAAAAAATGCTTCACATGCGATAATGTAATGACAGAGAGTGTTACAATATTAATCCTTAATGTCTTTTTTTCATAAAAGTTAGGATCTAAGCAGCTTTAATGAAAACAGATAACTACAGGGGAAATTCCTGCAGAAAATCAGCCTAAAGTGGCATTCATATTCTTGTATTAAATATTTGTGCTCTTTATGGTTCATTTGAAGAAAAAGCAGCGTAAGAAAACAAGAGGCTTGGTCCTAAACTGAGATTAACTTAGTCTGAGTTCACTGTGTTCTGTGGTAAATGCTGTATTCAGAGAATTATATGGAAGGCCAAACCTGCCACAATTAACAAAAACAGAAATAAACAAATGGCTCAATTAATATGCCAAAAAGCAAGAAAAAATACTGCAGTAATGGCAACATTCTATATTTGTTTAGGATTTAAACTATAATAATTTTTCAGTGTTACTATCACTCCTTTTTAGTTTAAAATTTTTGATTTGAAGTTTTATTCATATACTTATTTATTTCTTTAATTTCTTGCTCTTTGATTTTGTGACATCTATTTTTTGTCTTTTATTGTTCACTTTATCTAAAATAATTCTGTTTTGACAGATTTAAGCTTTTAAAAAATACATAACAAGAAATTAAGGTTATATGCCTAAATTTACAAAGTATGAAGTTGGTGGTCAATAATAAAGTACATGTTTTAACAAAATTTAAGCATCTTAGAGGATGTAGAAATAAAGAAAATTCACAAATAATTAAAGAGTTACACATTTAAAATAACTAAATAAATATCAGCTGAACAAGTAGAGATATTAGAGTAAATAGACAGGAAGAATAACACATTAATAAAGTTTACCAATACAAATTATGGCACTTTGTATACCAGTATATGTTTGGGTGTATTCGTGTGCACATTATTTATTTTTTTAGCCAATTATATATTTCTATCTTTATCTTTTTTGGAAGCAGGTTGGACCCTTCATATCTACGAGCATGATTCAGTGTATCCGCCTCCTTTTCTGGCTGCAAAATTAAGCCTAATATCATTGTTCCGTATCAGATGGCCAGTGCCGACACGGTTTGCCGTCCCCCCTCTAGGCTACAGCACCACAACAGGTCTCCAGCTGTCTGACTGCTGCCACTACAAAGTCATCCATCCCAAACGGACCCAGCGAAATGAATACAGGAGAACAGTGTGCGTCTCTTTGCAACTGCATGCACAAAACGAGCACATGCAGCTTCACAATCTACTGTACCTCTAACTGCTGATGAGGATGTCATTTACAAGTTTTACAAAAAAAAATGAAAGGAATAACAAACTGCATAATTAAATTATGCAGAAACAAATTAACAACTCACTCCCACACACATGTACACACACTTACATGCTTACAAACACACAGCTCTTTTGGATGATGACCCAATTTCTTTTATCCTTTCATTTTTTTTTCTTCATTTATCTAGAGATAACACGCAGACAGATAGAAGAGGTTAGGATAGATATAATAAGCCCTTACAATATGTAAAGGTCTCCAGCGAATGGGATCTCCCCCACAGAGAACTGTGGGAAAGTAGGGTGAGGATGGAGGAGAAGTGAGGAAAAGGGAGGAAGAGAAGGAGGAGACGGTGGGCCGCAGAGGTCATGCCCAGTAGCGCTGACAGAGAGGGGTGGCGTCTATGCGCTGGGGTTAGGGTTGTTGTGTGTGTTGGTGGAACCGTTGCTTCCCTGGATGGTGAGGCTAATCTCCTCCTTCTTCTCCTTCTCCTTAGCTTTCTCCTCATTGTGCTCTTCTCTGAGCTCCTCCTTCTCCTTCAGGGGTCGGGCCTCAACGGTGTCACCAGAAGCCATCGGGGCGTAGCGGCCTGTTCTGTGCTCGGCCAGGGCAGGGCCCCATTTTGGATGTGCTTGGCATGCATGCTTCAACCGCTGGAAAGAAAAGGTGGACAGCGACAATTCATGAGGAGACAAATCTTTAGAAAACAATAATATAAAATATAAAAATTTTAAGTTTTAAAAAAAGATTATGAAAACTGTATTTATTGATCTAATAATGCATAATGAATAAAGATTTTTCCATTTCAAAATCGAAAATATGTTACATTATATGCTTGTATATCTTTTAATCATTTTTTTTATTACTGGATTATTCTTGAAAACAATGCATGGTTTAAAAGTGTTTTTGACTTTAACATTTTGAAACCCAGTGCTGCAGTAATATTCATATATCTTTACTGATCACAGTGAATTTAATGATGAATAGAACCCGAGAACAGGAGAATTTACGTGGAATTATGTAAAAACCTGCAAGAAAATTGTCTGATTCTATTTTTCAACTAGCTAAAAAAAACAGGCTAGAGCAGTAATACAACAGGTTATTTATATCAAAACATATTCAAGTGTTAAAATTCAAACTTTAGCCCTAAATGTAGATAACCATTTGTAGCAAGACTTGGAAACTGCTTTTCAAATATGCTCTCCATCTAATCTAATTGAAGCTAATTTACAAAGAAGATTGTGCAAAAATGTTAGACCCTACATGTGCACAGCTGGTGTGTGTTCAGTGGGACTAAACTGAGCAGCAATATCACATCACAGGGAGTTACTTTGTGTTTGTTTAACAAAAAGCAGTTAAATAATTAGTATTAGGGAACATTTTTGAAGTGCTAAAAGCTGTTTTGCACCTTTAGAATCTGGTAAGCACCTCTTATTTTGGCTTTTAAAAAGCAGACCCTGGATTTAAATATATATTTTCCAATAAAATATTCTTACTGAGCACAAAAAGCCTCTGCTGACCTCACTGTACCCAATGGGAGTGGCAGCCTAGTGGTTAGGGCATAGGACTTTGAATCCTGAGATTGTGAGTTCACTCCCACAGACTGCCACTCTGGCTCCCTGAGCAAGACCCTTAACCCCACACTGCTCCCCGGGCGCTGCACAATGGCAGCCAACTGCTCCCCAAGGGGATGGGTTAAATGCAGAGAATTCATTTCATTGCTCTGTACTTGTGACAGTGTAACGACAGTAAAATTGAATTAAATAATACTGATACAGTCCAATAATCCAGAGGATTTCTCAAGTAAACTAACTTTTTTCTTTGGGAAATTGTAGAATGGGAAAACTTTTTTTTGCTAAAAGGCATCACATGCTTAGTCCACTTAATGAAGGTTATTAACACTCAAATGGCTGATTGAAAACTTACCAAAGGCAAAATGACAAAAATCTGGATTGTTCTCTGTTAGGATAATTATTTAAAATTTGAAAACATGATTTCATCATGTTTTTCTGTTTCTTTTGATTTACAACATTTTATGACATTGTCAACATCAACTTTTAAATAGAGGCAACAACACTAACAACCTAGCTAAAGTACCAGTACCTCAGTGATTGCAAAATATTTCTAAAAATATAAAGAGATGCTCTAGTTATTTCAAGCACAGGTTTCCTTTAGAGCAGATATAAATATGCAGAGCAGTCTTTTCTTGTCTGTACTGTACCTCTCTGAAGGTAGTCCCTGGGGACCTGGAAATCTTGTACAGGGCATAAACTGGTATGCAAATCACAGAGGATAGTGCCATGGCAAAGCCAATAGCCAGAGACCAGCCAGGATACACGTATTCATTGTAAGTGATAGGCTTGTACTGGATCACGGTAAAGATTAGGATGAACTGCAGACAAACAGAAAGAAAACAAAACAAAAACAACACATTAAGGAATTTCCTTTTTTCAGCATTATTGACCCTAATTGGGAAATAAACTGTTACAATTTTTTCAGTATTTAAAATACTAAAACTGTGTTTTGAATCACTTTTTCTCTCACACATATACCCTCTCCTAATCTGTACATTATTTTTGATCAATAAACATTATAGAAGCACAGACAGCACTGCAACATTTGCAGACGTTTTCCCTTTATATTAGGAATGATCAATACCTGATATAATAGAAAATACCCATCTATCCATCCATCCACCCACCCAAATTTAAGTAAGTCCAAAAAGGGAAACAAAAACAAATATGATCATTGATAGGCTGACTCTGTCGTATATGGTTGATAGATTCGTCCAATGAATCTTGCCACCTAACAGAAAAATCCTTTGATTTTAGTCACCAGTCAACTTCTCTGGTATTTGACCTAAAAAAGCTTACAAGATTTTTTCATAATGCAGTTTTAAAATAACAGTATATAACAGAAACACATACATAATGACATAACATAATCAAAAAATATTTCACTCAGTCAAAGCTAAAATAAAAAAATTATAAAAGTTCAATGGCAGTTTTAACAAGGAGTTGGAGTTTGCCTTTTGCATCCTATTATGCAAAAAAGAACAAAAGTCCAAGATATGACCAGTAATCCAAAAGAATACATTTCTCAGTTGACAGAAGGCATGAAAGGACTAATTTGGCAGTTTGGGAAATATTGTTGACGGCAGCTTCATGCGTTCATTTCCCGTTCCAAAAGATTAGCTTTCAGTAATTTATTCTGGAAAGAAAAGCAGTGAGCCTGGAGATTAGCTCTAATGGTAGCTGAAATGTAGGTCAGCTCCCTAACAACTAACTGGTCAACAAGTCAGAAACACTTCTTCAAATATATCTATGCCTTTAAACGACCGTACAGGCTTTCTGGTTTCAGGTCAGAGTGTGTGGTAATGTGTGTGAGTGAACTTACAGAGATAATGAGAGGTGAGATGAATCTCCAACAGACTTTGAAGAAGAGAGGAGGAGGGAAGCCCAGCATCATCTCAACATCCTTGAAGTAGTTCCTGTGACCTGCAAGGGGAAGCAAGTTTTAACCAGTAAGTTAAGTCTTACACTAGGTTTTAGTTGCAAAATACAAATGAAATGGACATTTGGTTGTTCCATCACTTTGTTTGTTTGTCTTAATGTTCTCTTAGGGAAAAGGCTTGATATGTTGACCTTCTGAATGTAACTGATCTATATTCTTTAAAGCATTTTAAACCTTCCCTGTTCTTGTTTTGACTCTGAAAAAAGCCCCTCTTTGCTCAGAATAACAATGACTCTCCTGACAGCTTTGCTTAGTTCAGCTGACAGGTTTACTGAGATCGAAGTCCTAATTAGGGGGAAATGCCCTGCTGGAAACTGGCGGATGAGTCATCTTTAAAAACAACTGAACAGCGACTGCAGGTTAATTTGCGGGAACAGGCTCTGATGAGCTGATTAATTGCTTTAATGCTGCTACAACTTGGGAAATTCTGACATATTGGAATAACTTTATTTTAAGCCAGTGCATTAGATTTAGTTCTGTTTGCTTAGGAATAAGAATATTAATAACTAAAACATGTTTAAAAAGGTCTAATCCAATTATGAGGTAGATTTTTGTTCTTTATTGATGCTCTGGTTTCACTGTAACTTGTGTTTAATGGTTAATGCGTTTAAAATAGTTTCTCTAGTTTTTTTATTGTATCTGATGAAGTGTCATAGAAATTTAAATTGTTAATCTCAGGAGTTTAAAGAGCATGACTGATAGATGTAATCTCTTTCATGGTTACCTTGACTCTCTAAGCAGCTGACAGTAATGTCTTGGTACATTTGCAGTCTTTGTTTCTACTTCTAGAATTTGGATTAAACAGTGCTCATTGAAATGTTCAAACCTCACATTTTTTGTAAAGGCTGTGCTGATCAATAAGCTAATAAAGCAAACATATAGATTTTTTTTTCCTGTGAGGTTTCCTTAAGTAGTCTTAAAAAAAGATTTTAAATGTTTCACTGAAGTCTTAAGGGACTGGAGATTTATCTTTCTGATTTTCATCTAATTTATCCTTCACTTTCAAGGGCACAACATCTCTCCCTCTCCATTCATTTCGTACTTTTGCGTTGAGGCAACATTAATTTGCCCTCCTACAGCCAAGCAACTGGGGAAATTCTTGCATGTGAAATTTTAAGCTTGTACACACAAAGGAACACAGAAAAGTTGAAAGATGTTCATTTTTTGCAACTGTGTCACAGCCCAAAAATGATCAGTTATGGTTTCATTGACTGGTGATAATTCAGAGAAACACACTGAAGCCTGCAACCACTTTCAACATGGAGGAAGACACTTTAGTTCAATTTTCCTGTATTGGATGAATTCAGTCATTTTCAGTAAACTCCTCTGACTCGTCATCCTTGCTGCCTTGTCTATCACAGACTGCTTTGAAAATGTCAAAATCCCTCCTACTCCATAATCAAACATCTTTCTTGAAGACAAGTGACCTGAGAGCACAACTGCTGTCCGTCCCAATGATTACTACTGAAACAATTTAAAAGCAAACATGCCAGATGGAAAATAGATTGAAGGTTTGTTAAGTATGACTTCATTTACATAATCATCTACACCATAAAAAAAAACATATATACCGGTAATGGGTTTGCCTTGTACCGTCACTGGGGATTACTGCATGTGCGCTTTTGCCTTTGTTCTCTATAAGCTTGCTGATATTTTCATGCTGGTCTGTGTGCCAAGCCTGAAGAGCAACAATTAGCTTAATATATCCCTGTAGGTGCAGTGACGCAGACAGTGAAAAAAAGCCCTTTCTAGACAGTAGTTGAACATCTTCTTTATATTCTGTCAGAATGTGACTAGTTAAATATGGTTATGGACAGTGCACTCCTGCTTACCATAAATATACATGATGCAGATGCACATGATGCATGAGATGACGACCAGTGAGAAGCTGGCAGCATAGTTGTCCATCAGCAACAGCCAATAGATTCCTGCCTATGAGCGAGACATAAAAAAGAGACAAGATTGCACTAAAAATGGGTTCTAGACAAGGGCAAAGAGTCTGCATGTTTAAATATGGGTCCATGGCTTACCTGTGTGGTCAATGGAACGCCCAGCAAGAAACCAAGCACAGCCACTGAGAGTGTGACTACTGTCTTATTTCGAATAATCCAGTCTGTGCCAATCTCGTCCACGATGGCTGTAACCAACGTCTCCAACAGGCAGAACTATAGGAAAAAAAACAGAAAGAAAAAGCTATTAATCTACCTTTACATAAAAAGGCAAAAAAATCTACATTTAAGGGCTGCCACCAACAGTCCATAATGACCACTGAGAAGAATATAATTAAAACTTTGATATTGTGATTATAGAATATTAATGTTTAGTAACTGCGTTTTTAACAACAGAGATTTCTATTAGATTTTAGTGAGGAAAACATAACTGAAATCATTTGGTATTTAAAAGTGCATATATTCTGATTTTCTGCACATAATTTAACAGAAGTATCATTAAAATTTTAGGAATGTATATAAAGAGGTATCATATCAGCAAGAGGTGGTGGCAGCATCATGATGTGGGATTGTTTTAGACTAAAGGAAGTAAATAAGAGAGACAGTTTGTTGCAAAATTTGTTAATGATCTAAACTAATTGGGATCACTGGTAGAGAATCTATTTTCAACTTCAACTTCAGGTGATCAAATAATTTAAAATGTATTCTTTAAAATATTACACTTTTGCATTGCTAAACAATCAGCAGGAAAATACGATAGCAATTTAACTGGGTTTGAATGAGGGAAATTTTACTGGGTCATCTTGAGGAGCCTACCATAATCCTATATTTCAAAGCTATTTTACAATAAAAAAGATGCCTTAAATAAAGTTTACAATGACATAATCTAACAAACTGAAAGGCACCAACATTGGTAGCCAAACAAGAGAAGCCACAATCAGAAGCAATAATTCATGAAAATCAGACAGAATATATAATACACAGACATCTATGAAAATAAATAGAAAAAAGGTGAGATGAACCTGGAGTCTTGTCAAGTCCTGTTTATTGTGGTTTCAATTGTTGTAAAACTTTTTTTTTTATTATTATTACTCTGGTAGCAGATACAACAAATTTCTCATGTTCTTATAACTGACCTGCTTGAATGCTATGCTTTCCTGTCTTTTCAATTTTGGAGGGAGTTGGTTTCTATGTTACTGTTTTCGTTGTACCCTCTAATTAGCAAAAATACAATAAAGTAGGGATGTCCCAATCTGATATTGATATTGGAAAACGGTACAACCAAAAAAGATATATGATATAAGCAAGCTGATAAAACACTCATGTTACATGTTTATATCTGCTTCTGTTTAAAGTGTATTTAACCCACTGGTTGATGATAAATTAGTCATTATTTTTTCATTATTTTTTTGTTATTGTTATTCTCTGTTTGAGTAATATCTTGAACATGAACAGGCATTTAAAAATATTCCACACCACAAAATTAATAAAAATATGTAAAATGTAATAAAAATATGTATGATTCGTGCTGATATATCACCGCATCAACATCAGTATTGATCTGTACTCGGGGCTGCAATATCAGTATTGTATTGGAAATGCAAATGTTTGTATTCCCTTGAATACTTAGAAATGTTGATAAACATAATAAATAATCTGTAAATGAAAAAAAAATTAACAGCAAATTCTCTAGCTGTCCTCAACATTACCGTTACCTTTCAGGACCCTATAAGTTGGATTTGTTAAACAATAAAATAACCTTAGCACTGCCGTCTTTATTGTGAATTGTGAGTACAGCTTCCTGTTCCCACCTGAGTTCCTAGTCCCAACAGAATGAGCATGAAGAAGAACAGCAGAGACCACAGAGGTGAGATCGGCAGCAGAGTCAGAGCTTCAGGGTAGGCCACGAAGGCCAGTCCAGGGCCGTGGTCAGCCACTTCAGACACTGGAACGTTCAGGTTGTGCGCCATGAAGCCCAGGATAGAGAAAATGACAAAGCCGGCATACACGCTGGTGGCACAGTTAGTTATGCTGATGATGATGCTGTCTCTGTACAATGGAATGGAAAGAAAAGATAAAGAGCGGTATGATACACTCTACTGACTATAACAAAACCATTACCAACTCTTTTATCTATGCCAAGCACAGGGATTGTGTTCTTGTACTGAAACCATTTAACATCTCTTTAGGGTACTTTAAGAACTAGTCTGTTTGTTCCTTCATTTTCTATACAAACTTTATTGTAAAATTTGTAGGATTAAGGTGTTCAGTGTTACTGACACTAAGAATTATCTTTAGTAGAAAACTTTATTACACTTTATCATCCAGTTTATTATCCAATAATTCCATTACAGTTTTGAAAATCTGAGATCTTTTTTCAATGAATTGGATGAATCAAATCCAACAACTTCCATCAATTTTGATCCAAAACCAAATCAAAAGCATGTACTCTGATGCATCTTTTAGGCTGAAAAAAAAAAAAAAAACTGCCAAAATAAAAAGATATAAAGTCAAGTCTGACATGTCAAAGCTGATCTACTCTTCCTCTTTTTGTCTTTTGTTTTGTTACATCTGCTCAAACTTTTTAAAGGTTTAGGTACAACAAAGGGAATTATGATTACATTCCCTATTAAGGTCATAAAGGCTGATATCCTTGATAACATTAATGTCTGCTTGTTTCTTATCCCTGAGACTTGGGGTCTCTCCTACCCTCTGCACTTCTGCCTATGCACCAACTGGTGGTGTTAAGGAAGAGCAGGATGTGTCTCTGCAGAGACTGTGCTGCAGAACACAACACAGGCTCACTGGCACCTCCATGCAGCTGCCTGGACAGATAGTGCTATCTTAAGCTCCTAGTCCTGGAACAAATTATATCTTCAACCTCCCTCTTTGCCCTCTGGAACCTCCTGTCAACATGAGGGCACAATCTTGGGAAATAAATGACACATTTTGTTCCTTTTTATCTCCCACTTCCTACGTTTCAACCTTCTCTAAGGCTGATTGCTCTGTCCCTTGTTGACCAAGCACTTAGCAAACAGTGTCTTAGCACAGATATATATATATATATATATATATATATATATATATATATATATATATATATATATATATATAATATATATATCTATATATAATATATATATATAATGTATAGATATATGTTATCTTTTTACTTTTTCTGGAAAGTATATTTCTTAGTTTCTTACATTTTTATGGATGAGAGAACTGAACGTTTTACAATCACCTCACCTTCCATTAATCGATTTCCCTGGCTTCATTTCTAAAATATATCTACCCCTTAACCTTTTCTCATTTTCTTTTATTACAAACAGATACTCGAGCTTATTCTGTCAGCAGTTTTTACAATAAACCAACTCGACAGCCTTTTTAAGTGAGAAAAAATCTTTGATTTAAAATGTCCTTTGTATTCAACCCTTGTGTTAAATAGCTGCAGACGTTTTAAACTCCTGCACCTATTATCAGTTTTTTTGTGTTTTTTCAGTCAGTCTTTAAGACTAACCTAAAGCAATTGTTGTGAAACTTGTTATAAGAAGCCATAGTGATGAGACCTCCCCAGGCACAGCCCAAGGAGTAGAAGATCTGTGAGGCAGCATCTCCCCAAACCTACAGGAAAACAGCAAAGAAACAAAGAGAATGTCAGAAAACAAACTATTTAGTCTTTATTTGCCAGGTTAGATCAGTAGTACCTTTGCATCAAGGACCTTCTGCCACTGTGGAGTCAGGTAGTACTTGATTCCATTAATAGCTCCATCCAGTGTAATGCCACGGATAAAAAGAATGGTCAAAACCACATAAGGGAAAGTGGCTGTGAAGTACACCACCTAGACACACGGTAATTACAGACAGCTGTTGAAATCAATCTCAGGAAAGCCAATATGGAACTTGTCTTTGGAAATGTTCAAAACACTATTAATATTTAATTTACAGCCTGACCTTTCCTGAGGACTTCACTCCCCTAATGAGGCAGAGGAAGACCACAACCCAGGACACAGCCAGGCAACCCAGGATGGGAAGGCGAACCTCTCCAAAGTTTCCAATATCATCCGAGATGTTCAACACGTAGTGTCTGAAAAATAAAACAAGAAACAGAATTTTTAAATGTTTTAGTTATTATTCACAATATAATGTTTTTTTAAGCTGGATTTTTGTTATCCCCATGCTTTCTCATTTGTTATAATGCAACAACCATAAACCTCAATATATTTTATAGATTCTATTGGTATTGAACATATTTGTTGTTCAACAAAATATTTCCATGGTTTTATTGCCAGCCACCAAGCAGGGGTTTGCAGTAAGAACTTTGAGTGAATATTTTTTTTCTTTGTCTTTAGATGTCTCTTTCTTGCACATCTAATAACAAAGATTTTTTTACCAGATTCTTTTAGCAAAATAGTTCAAGCTCTGTTTAATTATATAAGAAAATGCTTGAACCATACATTTTCTTACAGCACATTCTCAACTCGAACTACTTATGGACTTTAACTAGGGCATTACTGCCTATGAATATGTGACTACATGTACTGTAGCTTTGACTGTAGGTTTAAGTTCACCATCTAACTGGAAGCTGACGCTTCAGTCTAGTGGAAAGATGCAAATGCATAATGAGTTCTAACCATTTTCCCATTAACTGTGATCAGCTTTGTTTTTGAGAAAATCAGTAAGTTCACAGCTGCTGCAACCATGTTGACACGTTCAGGATGGTGTGCAGTCTTCTGCAGCTCATCCTGTTACCACAGGTCTCTTGGCTGCTACTCTGATAAATGCTCTGCCCTTGCCAGATCTTCTTCTCGTCTCTCTTCCTTAAAGGCCAAATTTGTGAGGTGTCCAGCTAATAGTTATGCCGTTGGCAGGTCCTCCTCTATTGCCACGGGGCCTCTTGGCTGTTTCTGTGATTAATGCTCTCTACGCCTGGCCTGGCAGTTTAGGTGAAAGGGCATGTCTTTGTTGCTTTGCAGCTTTGCTATACTCTTTTCATTTCCAAATGATGGATTAAACAGTGCTCCGTGTGATTTATCCCTGACCGGTTTGCTGTTTTCCTTGGTCTTCATCGTGATGTTTGATCTCTGAAGTTCTAAAGAAAACCTTTGCATCTATAACAGATTGCACACCTTAAAATATTCATCATTTCCGCAGCACAAAAACAAAACACCCTCTTTATGAATATCCTTATAATTCACAATTATCTAATACTTTGTCTAAGTCTCACAGAAGTTTTGATTTTAGCCTGGAAAATGTGAACATTTGTAAAGGATGTAAATTTTTTGTAAGGCACTGTAAGCCTCCTTTGGTCATGTAATCCCACAATGCTCAAATACTGTTGTGTTTTGTCACATCTTGTTTAAATATTTGATAGCGGTCTGCAAACATGAGCTATGTTTGCTTTAAGCTTATCTTCCTGTTGGTATCCTGTGCCAAATACCATTATCCTTTAAGACTGTCAATAGAGATTACCTGTCAAGTATCTTTTATTGCAATAATGCATATGGACAACTAAAGCATACACAATGAGGTTTGTTTAGCAATTATAAGTGCAATTTTATCTTAACAAACAAAAAAGTTAAGTTTGTGCCTCTTGAATATAGAAATCCCTTAATTCTTATATTTGATTTTACCTACTGCTTCCCGCAGCTTCTTTAAATGTTATTGTTAACACGGAAATCCTTCTTACTTCCAGTACTCCTCACTGGGGCTGGTCCTTTTGGTGCGGTTGACTACCTCTGTCACCCCTGCTACGAGACTGGTGGTGGCGTTCACCAGGCTGCCGTTTAGCTGGCCGCCACTGCCTACCACCCCGCTGCAGTCCGGAGTGTTCCAGGGGTTGTTGCAGTATGTCCAGGGCAGCAGATTTGTCATCGACATGAAGAAGTAGTAGAAGGCGATGCAAATGACCACATTGTAATAAATCCCAATGTAAGTGGACACCACCATCATGCCGTAACCAACACCTTAGGAGGGGAAGAAAGACAGAAGATTATGCAGGGCTAAAATATTGCAAAAACATTGCAAGAAAAACACTAAATGACGACTTGCTTGAAAAAATGTTACATTTTCACAAATTTCTCTTTGTTCTGATTATCTATTAGTTATGCAAAATAAAAAGAAAAAAAAATCATCCATAAGCATGATTTGTACCTTTGAACATGGGGCTGATCTTCCAGACACCCAGACACCCAAGGCTGGCAAACTGACCAAAGGACAGCTCGAGGAAGAAGAGAGGGATGCCGCAGAATACCAACATGATGAAATATGGCAGCATAAATGCACCTAGTGAGAGAGGTGTACAAGGGCAAACCCTGGTGTTATTATCTGAATATTAAAAAGAAAAACTAAATGTATAAATGCCAGAAGAAAGAAGATTTAAAAATGATTAAAGATCAATCATTCCTGAAGAACAGATTTCGACTGGTAAATGTATTATGATTTTAATTTCTCCTGTAAACTTTTCTGATTTTGATTTTTTTTGACAACAAATTCAAGGGGATCCAAATAAAACCAAAATGAGTTTAAATCTTAAATTGATCTTATCTCTGAATTTCTGCTTAATAAAGATGGTATATCTGAATTGCAAAATATTTGGTTTCACATCTGAAAATATTGATTTCTCTGAGTCATTTAATTTCCTGAATACTGCAAAACAGAACAAATGAGTAAAGATAAACCTCATCTGTGATGTTGGCTCATATGCATTTCCTGAGAGGTCAGTAAATATCCAGCTGAGGCCACTCAGTGGTGCTGCAACACTGGCTTTCAGCTGCAAGCTGAAATTAGTCCTTCATCTGTAACAAACCTATGTCCATGTGGATTCGGCTGAAGTTTATTGTACCAGTTAATCAAGGGAAATTATTAAAATATGCATCCATCCATCCATCCATCCATCCATCCATCCATCCATCCATCCATCCATCCATCCATCCATCCATCCATCCATCC